CTTTCCCGAAAATCAACTTGCAGCGTTTTCTTTATGGGGTCACGCGTTTCCTATGAACTACTCCTTATACCGGGTGGATTGAATTCAGAGGTATTTAACATATTGGAACAAGCACTGGCTCAAGTACCATCTACTGGCTTGCCAGATACTTAGAACCGAATCGCCTGTTCCTTTAAAAGTCCCCTCCTGCAAAACCCCTTTTATCGCCATTCTCGTGCTATAAGTCACCTTGCGTTAAAGGGCTACAAGGCATATGTGAAAGAATTTAGGCTTCAAGGAATTCCAAGTTGTTGTCAGGTCATGCCGCTTGAGACTCGACTTGAAGACAGGTATATACAGATATCCACGTCCATAGTAATCTCCTCATTTCTCCGACATAGCCTGTTTGTTCGCAACGTGCAAGATTCACTAAACGCTTGCAGAAGTTTCTCGTAGTGGCACCTAACCTTTCGGCTTCCACATGGCGCCTGATGGCTACTTCCGGCCTGCTTATAACTCAAACTTGGAGTGGCGTGAGAAGGTGGCTGACGATTTCCGATAAGTTCTGAAAGTGGTGGAGCGTTCATCAAAGTTTGGGACCACTGTGGTTTAGTGTCACGCTTCGTCTCCACATGCACCGGTCGACAAAGTTGCGTTGATACGACGATTTGACCGTCGTTTCAGACGGTGTCCACAGTGTGCTCCACAGCAGAGTGGTTGCAGGGAGGGCGACTTGTGCATGAATTCGTTTACACTGATAGTACATCTACATAGCATATACCACACTCTCTCCTCATCGGGGAGGAAAGAAAGGGGGGGGGTCGTCGTCAGGGCGGAGTTTGTGGCAAGGATGATGGAAGTGGTGATGATCGATGACAACTGTCATCGGGAGTGTGATCACCTGTGGTTAAGGAGTTCGACGTCGTGGACGCCGTGGGAGTTGGTGCAGGGGAGACGTTGTATACGATTGTGGAGGCAGCAGTTGGGGTTGTTGTTTTGCATGTCTGCTTCTGTCGTGGTGCCGACCGCATAGTCATTAGCGAAGAGCAGATCGTGAACAGCAGTCGTGGGGAGACGTGTTGAGGCTTCACTGTGCCGGCTGTTAGAAAGATGCACATCGGTCCTGTAGGTAATTCGGATGCCGGGACACTCACCACAGTAGACGTCCATCAGCATGACAGAAGTCATGGTGGGGGCCAGTACACAGCCCTGCCTCACCCCATTGGTCACTGCATATTCTTTTGAGGTGGTCCCATTGTCCATGGCGCAAGCCATTCTCCCGTCTTGGAGCTGAAGCGCAATGTGCGTGAAGTGTTCCGGACAGCCAAATTTCTGCCTCATTTTCCAAAGTTTATCGCGATTTACCGTGTCGAAGGCTTTCGCCAAGTCCACGAATGTAGTGTAGAGGTGGGTCCGCATTTCCTGGCACATCTCTTGCAGCGGACGGGCAGCGAAGATTGTCAGTGTTTCTGCAGCCTGCTGTCTTCGGCAAGTAGATAACGGGTGGTTTCGTCGTTGTCGTCAGACCAGTCCTGTTGTGGACGATGTGCGCAACCGAGGACGTCCAAGGCATTCCAGTGAGTATCATTCCGCATGTGAAACCACCGAGCCTCCACGGTAGCATATTCATCTGGAGCTTGCAGTTTTCCAGTCCCCGTGTCAATTTACAGCTGAAATCTTGATGGTGAGCAGGCAAGTTCGACAGAACTACATGTAGATTGCCTGGTGTTCGTTTACCTTGTGGTCTTCTGCGGGGCTGCAGTCAGAGCCCCAGTCTGGAGATTAGAAGGCGGTGGTCGGTTTAACTTCCGGCGTCGTAGATGGCCTTCGTAACCAGCGCGTCCTGTCGACCTCGCCTCCGGACGAGAACGTAGTCCAACAGCTGGCAGTGCCGTGATGGGGAATGCGTCCAGGTCGTCTTTTTTCGGGTCAGAAGGAGGAAGAAGGTGTTGGTCGGGAGGAGGCGGTGTTTTGCGCAGATTTTTAGAAGAAAGAGGTCGTTGTCGCTGCAGTCGCCAACTCCATGGATTTGGGTGGATAGACGTACCCTGTGAATACACGTTGAAGGTACTGCTGTTTTTCAGTCGTATTTTGCGGTTCACCGCTGCACCTCAATAAGCCCATAGCGGCCTTGCGCAACTGCCTTTGCGACTTATTTGGTGGTTACCGTATTATTTGTCGCTCTCCTTGAAAAGTTGCGTCAATTATTGTAATCCGACTGTTCTTACCTTCACCATCATAAACTTTATGTTCAGGAAGATGATGTTGAGATGTTATTTGAATGTCAGCGCCCGACTCTCTTTGGTGACGTACACCAGTTAAGAGGGACGTGAGATCTAAGGATGAAATAGCACCAAAGTTGCTTTAAGAATTGAGTCAACGAATAGCAGTGTTGTCTGAAACAGCTGTCAGGAATCTGGAAAAAACGAAGTAATCCCTAAGTCGGCCTATAGTTGAAACATCACCGAATTACAAGATGAGCTGGATGGAAGCGTCCTCTTTTTGTACCTTGGGAGGGACATAGGAGTTTGGGCTCTCGCTATGAGCCGGTCGGTCGGCAATACTACATCTGAGTTCTCCGAGAACAGCTCTCTCAAGTGGTTTGATTCACATAAAAGATTCAATTGGCAGTTTTGGCTTTTTGAAGGCAGTCTGTCCTGTCTAATACGATGTTAGAGCGCCCCTCGCCTGCAGGCTAGGTAATGGGGTTTTGTCCGTCGTGAGTTCTCTTAGTCCATAGCGTCCACTTTTCTGGTATACTTTAATGATCTATGAGGCATAAAGACTGAATACATATGCTGTCGGATACAATTTTGCGTTTCGTCTTTCGTCCCTGTTTGATTGAGGACTGACTACACTGCTGCAGCCATATTAAAGGGTTTCGCATTGGTTGCTTAGAACGAATTTTCATGCTATAATGCAATAATTTATTTTTTCGTCGGCTCCTTCGACGATAGGCTATATACCAGTTTGTCTTTTTCGGATGACACTAAATAAGGCAGCTTAAGAAGCTTACCTTCCAGTCCTACGTCATGTAGGAATTCAAAGCATCTTGCTGGTGAGCCCTTTGGCTTTTTCCGAAAGCCTCGAGCAACGATCCCGAAAGAGCCCTCGGATCACTGGTCTGCCGTGTCGAAACGCTGCTGCTCCGTCAAATGATCGAGTCTCATTTTTCCCATTATTTTACTGCCCGACTTTTCAAATTCATACTTGAACTCACCCGAGACGGTTAGATAGGGGCTTAAAAATATGTCAACATAGAATTCGACTACTCTAAGGTGGACTTATCACAGCCCAACGACCTTCGAACATTCTTTAGAATTTTAATAATTAATGGAAAAAGAACTTGTCCACGGCACTCTTTGGAAATGTTCTCTAAAGCTTGCCAACGACGAGGTAGTGAATCCTGCAGATGAGGTATTTATTCAGCCTGGGGGGCTGTTTAACCGACAGATGCATTCCATGCCAAGGAACCTGAATCGACCGATCTGTATGGTTAATGTCCTGTTAGGCCTCAGCATGGTTTAGATTTGAAGACGTTCTGATCTGTTATGGGAATGACAGGGCCCACACAAGGTCCTTCCGGTGTTCATTGCCATGGGCAACTGGACTTATCGTTGTCAATTGCAAGATAACCGTCAGTGGGTGTTTTGAACCTCAGGTCCAAAGCAAAATGGAACGTCCGTATTTCGCCCAGTATGCAGGTCGATGGTAAACGACACTGCTACGTGTTTTATACGTCATTTTCTTCGCCGTGCACATCCACTGTGCAAAGACCGGATGGAGCTGGCTGGCAGATTAATTGCGTGGGCAAAAAACAGTGCAGCTCGATGATTCCTTACTGCATTCCACCGTGTCCCGAACACCAGGAATGTACGCTTGCATCTTACGATCACATAGTTCAGCGTTTCCTAGCAAAATAGGAAGATCGGCAATTAACTGTAAAAATTCTTAATTAAATCGTGCAACGGCACATTAAAATACTCGACCAATCCAGCCTTTGGTAACTAAGCCTCCTGTTTGCTTATGTTTTCTGTAAATCGAACATATCTTGATTGGCAGTCACATTACCGGCAAGAAACAACCATTAACTGATTAAAAAGTGTCTCTTAGTGACATCTCCTATGGGTATACAGTGGTTTTTGTATAAAATCCCGACAACCTCGTTACTAAAATGTTTACATTTTCATTAACAGATTAATGCTGTTATTCTCAGTTCATACCAAGGTCGGGATTTATTCTCAAGCAGAAAAGGAGTTCCATTGTTTGGAACCGCCGCAGACCCTATACATTTAGCAATCAGAAAGGTATGCCAGTTTTGATAAGAATTTCTGGAATTAAAACTGCCGGCGCCAGCAAATTTCGCGATCGCTTCCAACTTCCTTCCTTGACATGAAAAACAGACGACTAGAGCGCTATAACGAATTCCACTTGTTAATGAGCCGAGTACATTTCAGCAAAAACAATCAGGAAAGGGTGATGCCGAAGCACTGAAATAGTCCGTCTAAAGAGCAGTAAAAAATAGAAAAGAATTAGCTACAAGGGAGATTGGGATGGACACTTCTGAATAACTCGGCGTCGTCAGCCAGTCATAACCAACCCTGAAGTGTGGAACACCCGGGGCTCGATCCCGCGACCTGTTGGTTAGAAGTCCATCGCCCCTAACTACTGAACCACGGGCTCGTTGCTCTGTCGCTTGCGACCGAGTATATACAATGGCGGAAGGGCGCTCAACGATCACGCTACGGAACTCACTCTTCTCGTTGTGCCTCGGGGCTCTCTCCCTCAAGCTCCACCAGCAGCCGCACAGCGACGCCTAATATAGGCAGAATAGTATTACCAACATATTCAAGGGAAACTGGGATGGCCATTTCCAACTTATCAGCCTTTGTCAACCAGTCATGCCCGACACCGAAATGGGGAACACCTGGGGCCCGATCCCGCGACCTGTTAGTTAGAAGTCCAACACTCGTATATTACGCGCTGCTTTCTGGCTGCTGGGGGGAGGGGGGGCTCGAAAGAGAGTCCCTAGGCGCAACGGGACAAGCGAGTTCCGTAGCGCGATCGGTGAGCGTCCTTCTACCACATTAGTAAAAAGTACAAAATCGTTTACCATACCGATACCAGAGGCACTAGCTAAAAGCCCAGACATGCGTGTTTCACTGATCTTGCGACGCTACATGGTGCAGCTGCGAGGGGCTTGGCTAACTAGTAGGTCCCCCACGTTTAGTTTCTATATACTACTGACTCCCTGCTGGCAGCTTGTGAATACTACGCGGTCATTCTGCAGTAGCTGGTAGATTTCAACTCGAATATTCATATACAAACTTCTGAACAAAGCCTATAAAAGCTTTGTTCCAAAGAATTTACTTCAAGTTCACGCATAAATTTTCTCAGACATTAGACAAGGCAGTACTAAAAAGAGTACGTTAGAAAGGTAATCAGTAATAGCGGCGCCAAATCAAAGACTCGAATACGTTTGGGCTAAACAAACATGCAATTACGGTCGATTCTATTGGTAGTTGGTTTATACCCAACAGAAGATAGCAGTTATTTGTTGTGAGACCGGAAAAAATCGATGTAATATTGCAGACAGACTTCTAAAAGAAACTTTTGTGTCATCAAAGAAATCATACATTTTTATTGTTCTAGCTGGTGGGGAATTTCTGTAGACTGATAGCCACCATTTACAAATTTACACCTAGCTGAAGCACTGGGTCACATATGTGCTCGCTTATCTGGAATTTGTTTGTTACTTAAAATGCTCCATGATCGGTTGAAATTGGGCATTAAAACCGTGCGTTTCCTTTTAATCAGACAGCTCCTAGACAGATTGATGGAGTGAAAATGGAAACCCCACCCGATCCTATTCTCGTCAACATTTACATGGCTCACTGACAGGGAAGGCGTTATCACAGTCGAGTCCGACAGCGCTATATGGAAAACATGTTAGCGACATAAATGCCATTATTACCCACGACGCGGGAGAGAAGAGTCAACTTACGTATAGCTTGCTTCCCGAGCTTAAACTTTTAATGGAAAGGGGCGCGGGACAACAAACAGTTCTTCTTGGACGTCATTGCCCATAGCCTATGAGGTGATTTAACTAGATAGACGGTCTTCCATAAGAATACTCGGAAAGATCAATACCTAGATTTGTGCCGTTTCAATGTCAACGGAAGATTGTCTACACTTTCCTAGACAATGCAACGAATGTTTGCTCCAATGGACCAGTGACCTCATCAAAATAACCTTCCTTAAATGTGGTTATGCAGTCATTTTCATTTAACTTTATAGCCATTCACAACGGCAGAAGTTGGCGGAATATTCAGTTTCATGAAAATCCACCCTACTATCGTTTCCCTTCTAGGGGAATATAACAACACGCATAGCCTACGCTGCGCCATTGAACGGGGTCGGAGTGTAGTTAA